CGAAGATAGACATCTCTGAAACGTCTCTGAAACTCTTAAAGAGTATACACTTCCGGTAATATTATCCTCCTTCTCGCAACAGCGCAACAGACATTGTTAATCCTATGTAGTGTAGGTGTATCAGTTGTATTACGTCTTCATAGTGATGCCATATAAGAAATCAAGTGTCTAAAAAGCCCTCAATTCAACCTAACACTCGAATTGATAGAGTCAAGATGGTGCAGTTGTCTTGCTCATTTGCAACTAACTGTAGAACCAAATGTTATTTTTCTCGCGCTGGCCAGGGACGGCAACAGCTCTTACCTATAAATTCGTGGGTGTACAGCTTAAAAAAAAAAATTGAGAGACGTCGATGTATCCCAAACATGCGTTTCGTCCGAAAAGAAGCTTATTCTAGCACGTATTGGCTTATTTGGAGAGTTACGAAGACCGCGATTTCACGATTACCTCAAATATCGTGCACAACTTAGTGTGAGATTCAGACCTTCGGGTTCGTAAATGCCAGTATCCTCATCATAAAAATCGGAGACGTAAAGTTGAGAGAGAGGTGAATGATGGCAGAAGAAATCAAAGCTGGTGGCGAGTCTTCCTGGTGGCAAGGTGACTGTAAACCTAATAGAACGCGTACTGTAACTGCTATCTTGGAGTCGGCAATGAATAAGGAAGAAGGGCAAGAAGAGCGCTTATCTGAACATCAGTTTTCCTAACTGGTGATTTGTGACTGAGATGAACTTTATATCATATGATTGCTAGGGATACGCAGGTACATTAGAGGCGCTCACATAAATAGAGGTGGGCGATCCTCCCTCTGACTGAATAACTGCGACAAGTTTAGAGCTCAGACCAACTGACACAGTTTGGAGCACCTCAGGGTCTCACTAGGCCCATCACATTAGAAACCTTCAGCAAACTAATCGTAGAAGCGGGTGGTTATCGGTAACGTGCACAGATCTCTGAACGCGGGTCATTGCGAGAACTATATCCAATCCGTCACAGACAGAACAAGAAAGCGAGATATTCTTGCTATAAGGAAGAACGTATCGAGACGTTTCAGTCATTGACTGCCATCCAAAAGTACCCTAACAAAGACAAACACAGTGAAGCTGACAAAAAAGAACCCGCTTATGATAAGATCAAGAGGAAATAGACGAAGACCGGCTTGCCATTCTATAGGGGATGGCTACGTTTAAGGACGGACCTCAGGTAAAATTCTGACGAACAATCCCCAACTAGCCAAGTGGACTTTGGATGGGCTCTTTGGAAAACACAGAAAACAGCCACCTTTTCTCAGAAAGCAAAGAATTATCTCCTAGACGTGTGCTGGACAGTGGAGGAAACTTGCAAGGCAACCGCCTCTAATGTGACTTCCCAAATATCGAGTTTAAGAGACGACACCAGCCAGAAATGTTGTCTAAGACTGACCGGTTGATAGAGCAGCAAATCGCTCGATACTTCAGGCGGTTATCTGCCGTAACAAAAATTGGTTTACTGACGAGGTCCCTCTCTGTAAATATGAATGATGACGAAGAGGCCGATGCCGATGATCTAGCTTCAGAAGTCGAAACTGACCGAACAAGGCAGAAGATAAGGAGGGACCTTGCAAAATTTAGACGAAGACTGCAGCAGAGGGTACAGCTGCTATAAAGCTAGAAAAAAAATAACGACATTTGCACCTCACTTTTCTTTCATATTTATTGTCTTTGCTCACGAAAACAACTGACTTTGACTTTAAAAGCTCCTAAAATGAGCAATGATGATGATAAACAATCAAATTATAGACTAATGAATGTTTTGTGCCGTAAAAAAGCCATATTTGCTGATTTTAGCAAATCTCCAAAGTAATAAACGACTGAAGAAAGAAACGCTACGATTTTCTCTTCGATTTTTCGCCCACATGCATCTCTCTAAACGTGAAATTTTCTATTCTTACAAAAAATCTCGAAAGTTTTTCACATTTTTCACCTTTCTTGATCAATCATCTTGTATAAAGAGCCAAAAAATGTAGGTTTATTTGGTCAAGCAACCGCTTAAAGCAAGAATTGCGTGACAGGTGTAGTTGAGAGAAACTTGTCACAGTCGCAGATTTTAAAAGGCATTCAAGACAAAAATACGGTAGCGCCCAAAGATTTTTTTGATGATTTTCAGAGATGAAATAATGGGTTATAAAGGGGAATCAAGATTAGCGTTGCTTTCTGGCAAGGGGAGATATTTGACCTCAAAGTTGTGAAATATTTGGATGAATCGAAAAGTCTAAAAACACAGTCGTTTCTTTGCCTCTGTTGATTGACAAGCCGTCAATCAAATTGACTGATACTTGCGGCGAACATTAACTAAGGATGTAAAAATATGTGTGCAAATCCTCAGAGTAATTGGTTAAATACCATCGCAGTGAGAGCTTCATACATTTTACCTATTTTGAAGCGATTTCCTTGGTGAAAACCAAGAAAAACTGGGGGGATGGTCTATCTCCCCCCGGAAAAAACCAAAACAGAAACCGGTTTGTCTTTTTGAGTTTTGAGGTAGACCCTTTAAACTGGCAAAGTTTCATTGAAATCGGTGAGATGGCATGTAGCACGACTGCCCGGTGCTCTCGTGGACAGGCTCTTAAAACTAAAATACAAGCAAAGAAAAGAACGTTACAAAGTGAAAAGTGGAAAGTTGGACCAAAGCGACACTTACATTTGTTAGGAGCTGGGAAAAAACTGCACTGGAGCGGCGACGAACTGTAACGTGAAATCTGGCTGCCGTAGGGCGAAAAATGACCGCTTAGAAATGGCAAGCGAAAAACTAACCCCAAAAGGCCTACACGTCCTTTAGATACGAACGAATATATTACGCTAAATTACTCGACTAACACGCTAAAATACATTCCGCACGCACAACGAACTAACCTACAAAAATCCCAAAGGGAAAAAACAAAGGACACTAATAAACTGGTGTTCAGTTCTTTACATTCCTCGTTTTCTGTAGTACTCCGAAACAAATGATAAGTAGTATCAGGAAACAGTGGGATCACGTGCTAATTCCAAGTAACCATCGACGAAATTCGAGGAAATCGTTACTAAGCGTTAAACGACCGAAGAACCGAAGAAGTTCCGAAACAATCAAAAGCCAAGAGCGAGGAATATCGGGTAAAACTCGGCAGACTTCGTTTTGGGCTAAGAGATCGATGTTATTCTATAGTTACACTCAATAACTCACCCACTCACTCAATAGGACGACATAATGGCTTCGCCTCCGTAGGAGGCAGTTGAGGCAATAACAGATGTCTCTATCTTCGCTGTTTACGGATCAAATAACATGAAATGATAAGAGGGTGGACTAAGAGAATATTTTATATTTATTTGGTCCCAAACCCCATCTCAGTTATCTTGCAGAATTCGGGGGCTCAAAGGAAATTTTTTCAGAAAAAAAAATCTCAATTCAGGTATTATAAAAGCAATGTATTTCTAAGATTTCTTGCTATGTGATCATGTGAATCTTTTTAGAAAAAGCTATCAAGGAAAGTTAGTAAAACTCAATAGCTTAAAAGATTAAATGTTCGTGTGTCATGAGCTTATTTCAATCTCTGCTAACTTCGGAAAAATTCAATTTCGAGATGTTTTGCACGCGAGGAAGATTAGACTGAAAAAAGAGAGTAGTTTGTGTATTTAAGGCTGTTAACACTCAGGCCTGTGTTCCATACAAATTTAAAAAAGCAAGAACTAAAATGCTCCTATAATCCCTTAAGGGTTTGGGTGTCTTGGTGTCACGTGATGGAATGAATGAATGTTGGCAGTTTTCTGGCTCTTTTCTGGCGCTTAAAAGACAAAAGAAAAACGTTGCCGCGATGTCGAACTTAAATATAACATTTACGGTAATACCGGAAGAAGAATGAAATTAGAAAGAAAATTATGATCTACCGGGTGCTTGAGGATGCAAGACTTTTAGTTCAATTAAGTTTTATGCAGCTCAATAAAAAATATTTTTAAGGATAAGAATGCTTCAGAAATCCTATCATTTTTCATATTCGTCACCTAAAAGTATCTTTCAAATTACGACCCTAACCGAGTTTTGGAATTCCTAAGAGTAACTTACCCTTTCGGGAATTGTCTTTAAATTTGCCTGGATGGACAGAGAAAGCCGCCATTTTGAAATTTGCTTAGCAGCCTAGCCATTTATCTGTAACGTAATAAAGTCTAACTTCTGTCTTCTCCATCTCATTTAAATAATAAGGAACATGACGGAAAGTCATTCTTGACTCAGACAATAATATATATATATTTTGCGATAACCTGCGCTCCAGCTGTTAGTGAACTGCGCGTTTTAGTCGTGCGGCCAGGTTACTAGGTTTTTCAAAGATAATTTGAAAACAGTAAGATAATTCTTTGCAATATAATTAAAAGCGAGTCAAGAAATTTTTCTACGATTTTTTCCGAACTTACTACTCAATTAAAGATTTGATCGCGCAAGCAGCTCGATTTTCTATACCACGGCATCATGTTATGGAACCTTAGGCTGTTCCGCCTTCACAGTTAAAACACTTTTCAAATACTTGTCGCAAAACTAAAACCCAAGCAATCAAAACAGCCAATTACAACGAGGAAAATATCACCAGGAGCCATTGGAAGCTCTGCTAGAAGCGCGGGAAAACGCGAATGACTCGAAACCGCAATTGGTTTTAGTTTTGAATCTGATTGGTTGAGAAAGTGACCCGAGCTTTCCGGACCAATCACATAACGAAGTGATGCAAAACCAGGGCAATTCCGGATTACCTTCGACGTCCAATAGAAAATTTCTCTATGCAAACACGAGCTTTTCCTTTTTTCTTTTCTTTAAGGACTCACATGCTTCAAAAGGACTATCAAATATATCTTTCTGAAATATTGTTTGGGAGCATTCAGCTGGATGAATCTTGCAATAAACTCGTCTTTGTAAATTCGGGCGAAGAATTATTTTGAAATTAAACAAATATAAACAATGTCATCCGTCGAACATAAACACCTCACAATAAACGCGAGAAAAACACTTTATTCCCCTTTCGTTTACATTACCAGTAAAACGAGCGAATTATTTGCCCATGAAAGAAATATTAGCAACAAAGAAAAAGCATTTCCTTCAGAATTATCCACCAAATAGCATCTACCACTACCCTAACCCTTCCCCTGGAACAAGCTATAAATAATCCTATATTGCCACTGACACGACAGAGTCAAATAGAAAATCCATTCTCGCACTTCTTTAGTGAGTAACTGAAGTAGACTCGTTACGACCATTCTGCGATTAGACCAGAAAGGCGTTCCGGTTAACTTTGCGTTAACAAAGCCACAAGGTCTCCACACTTATCAGGAGGCACAGGACTACCAGACCCATCCCTGTAAAATTGCAACCGCAGCTAGGATCCGGTTCTTGGCCTGTTATAAGCTTTAGGATTGTAGTTGAACCGTCCTGTGGTTTATACTGATCTACAAAGGGTTTGGAGAGTTTCTTAGTCTTCTTGTCGTAGATCATCCAATACGAGTCAGTCTTGGAATCCTAAACAATCCAAAAAGAGGGAGTTAGAGAAAGACAGTCGCACAAACTTCAGCCTTGGTCAAAACTAATCAGGCTAAAATCAGAATAAGCCTAGAAAAAAAATTGACCAATGGGGTTTAAAGGATGTTAAGTTAAGTTTTAACAACACCCCCTCCCCACCTCACCCCGAGCTTATTGTCTCCCAGAGCTTCTTTAAAAGGGATTCTTCGAGAGAGAAAGGAGGAAGGCTTATAGAAAACTCAATGAAAGCCAATAGTCATTTTTATCTTTCTCTTTTCTCAGCTTTTTCAATTCTTCTTTTTAATTTTGGAGTTTTAGTTTGGGAGGGGGGAGAGGGTTTGGAAGGGGGAAGAAGGCTCGTCAGAAACTTGAACTTCTAGACGTGGAAGAGGGGGTGCTTAGTGACAAATTTTACAGAACTATTTCCCCGTTATGATGGAAAATTATAAAAAATCTGCCACGAGTATGGCAGCCTGAGCCGGGCTTCCTCGCTCAGTGGACGCAAACGAATGAGCAGACGAGGGAAGACTGGAGAGATTTTAAGGAGGCCTGCCTCTCCTTAGTCCCCCATAATCTTTCTATCACTTTCCCGGCTTTCTCATTCGTCTCCACAAATTAGCGGCCTGGGGCAGGCTACAAAAATGGAAGCAGAAGGATTCGGGCCTCTGACTTCAGAATTTCACGATAACGTGCACCACTAGCTGATCTACGAAGAACACGTGAAAAAAATTTCTCTATTCGACGATCGAATTCATTTGATTTTTAACTCTCGAGGTCAACAATAGGACAACATGGAAAATTTGATATTTGTCACATACCTCTTCAAGTCCGTTCATGGAAGTGATAAAATGCGGTTGCATATTTATTGAAAGGACCCTTTTTATTCCAGGCAGCGTCAGCAGTGATCAACTTGGGCTCCGAATTTGCTTCATATATGAAAAAACATTTTGAAGCGAAAAATAGTGAAATCCGTAAATCTAGGTTACGTAAAAAAGGGTTCATGGCTACTGATCACATACCTCTTTATTACCGTTCATGGCAGTGATAAAATGTCCCTGTCCGCCATAGTATGTGGATGAATACTTATTAAAAGGGCCCTTGGGATTTTTATCTGCAGCTTCGTTGATGATTTCTCTAAGACTGGTGTTACTGGCGACTTTGGTGGTGTACGGAGCAGGGATTGACTTTTTAACGACATTCGTATTCCATTCCATTCCAATGGTAACTGTGATCGCAGAGGGAGGTTCCTGATTAGTAGGAAACAAAATGTTTGTTAGCGTAAATCTATTACTGTTGCTGCTGGAAATAGTAACCATTTTGTCCAGAAAATCCCTTAAGGTCATAAAAAACCTTTCCATGAGCGTGTCCCTCATCAGTCGTAGCAAATTTTACCAACTAGAAAGGAAGACCATCTTCCTACTTCATATTTGTGTCTTATGCATGCCTGGTCAGCGAACAGGGACGTTCGTTATAGGAACTAGTTCACACTTTGATCTGACCGTAGAAGAACTGAAATTAGTTCACACCTACTGAGATTTACACTGTGAAGTACCATCGTTGGTGTCTCTGATTGGAAGAAAGATGTGCTTTCATAGTCGTTCGCTTCCAATCTTTGATTGGTTTCGGTTAGTAAGAAACAATCTCAGTTTGTATAACGTAAAAACATCATATCATGGTAAGTGCTGGAATAATTTACATTCACTAGTTGCGTTGCGATGCATCAAAAAACGAACGAGGGGTTTTTTGAAGCATCGAAACGAGAGAATAAAAAATTGTTCGAGCGCACTTTCCAAGGGAGAACCTCTATACTTTCAACACTATATGAATATGTATGAGCCTCCTTTAAAATAACGGGACAAGGGCCATTCTCGTCCCCAGAGCCACTCGGTCTTACTTACCGTCACGAATTTCTTCGAGCACGTGACCTAAAGAAACGAGGAAATAGGACTCTTGGGACGAGAATGGACGTGAGCGGGTAAACCTGAGTCTACTGCATAAGGTCAAGGCCTCTACTTTCTTAATGCGAAAGTGTTGCGAAACAATCAAATCGATGGTTTGGACTGTTTATCAGCAAAGAAAAAGCAAACCAAACGAGTTATCCAGCCCAAGAGCGGGCCCTCATTTTTAGCGCTGCATTGCGTCCATTTCTCCGCTCGCAGGAAGTTTTGAGACGAATTGGCGCGAGGATTATCGTAGAACTGGCACTAATTAGTGCCAGACCCCTTGCATACCTCGCGCAGGCCCGCGACGGTCATGTTCTCATTCCTTCCCGCGAAGAAACACTCGTGCACAGGCGCTAATGAACATTGAAAACCTGCTCGCAAGCTAAAGCAGGCTTGTAATCTTCTCTTTTTTCAGGAAAGTTTTGCTTTACACGCACTCAATTGACTTTCTAGACTCGTGTTCAAAAGAAACAACCTTAGCTAAAGTACAGCGAACAAACCTGACTAGGGGTGGAGTGAGAAACACAATATCCATTCGCACTTTTATTATTATTCGGGTAAGGGTCTGCTGTAAACCGGAATAGAATCGTGGACCCGTTATGAGGCACATAAGAGTCCCCTCCACACGGAATAGACACTACATTTTCTTCATCATATTTGTACCAGTACGAATTGGTGTTCTGACTGTGTCCCGTTCCATTTATGGTGGTGATCAGATACCCCAGCCCAGCATAGTAAGTGCTCTCGTAAAGGTTGAAGGGGCCCTCCTTATCTTCGCCTGCTACTTTGTTCATGATGTCCATCACAACAGTTCCGTTGGGGACCATTGTTGTGTAACTAGGTGGAATCGGTTTACCAAGTGCGGTGACATTCCAGTCGAGCTTTAAAGTCACTGTGATCTGCAAGAAATGGGCCAATCTAAGGAAAGCGCTAAGATTGACTATCAGGAAAAAATAAATAAATAAATAAAAAGTGCTTTAATGAGGAGGAATTTATTCATCTTGTATTATACTCTCGACACAGCGCTCCACACGCTCCACGCTTGAAGCTAAACGCGCGTTTCACAAAGGCCACGCACTCCTTATGCTCAAGTGAATTTGTCACGCATCAGTTTTTAAACAAAGCGAAAATACTTATTCAGCTTTACCCACTTTCCCTCAAAGAAACCACGAAGCAAGAGATGAGAGCCTCAGCTTTTCATGATAAATCATGATAGCAATAATAAAGTTTAAACCATTGGTAAACATTTAGTCCGTGAGTATCTAACGAAAGCGACCACGAAATCCCATTGGTGGGGTGGGAGGGGGGGGGGCGGGATAACGAAAAAGAGGAGGGAGCGTTCGCAACGAGTGATGCAGGAAGTTTTAAATCTTCAAAAAAAAAAAAGGTTAAACAGCTCTTTAAGAATTATTAACCGCTGAATTATTATAAGGAATGGAAGCCTTCCACGAGTTTCGCTGAATCAGCTTACCTCAGGAGCAGCTTCCCTCCGTTCTCGTAAATGGGCTGCAATATAAAAAATATATTGCATTTCATTATGTTTTTAGTTCAAGAGAAATTGATTCTTGATCTTGTCCTTTATTTAGTATTTTTAACAGATATGTTCACATTTTTTGTTTTAAAAGCAGCGTCAAATACACATCGGGTGCCGAGTCGCTGAGGTAGGTCTTTTTTTAAACTGCTTCTAAAACGCAGACGCTGCGATTACAGATTATATCCATACGAGACTTGTTTCGATTACCAGATTAAAATCATTCCATACATGCCAAACGGGGCGAATCGTCACTTAGTGAGCTCTCGGCCTGGGTAGAATTATTTTCCGCTGCAAAGCAGTTGACAAGGGTCATGTGTCACGCCATCAAGTTAGCCTGATCATACGAGCCAGGTTTCTTGCAGGCTCTGTTAGCAGGACTTACTTTGACCCCTTGACATACTTCGTCCCTGAAACTGTGCATATGAAAAATGTCGGCTCGAATTCCACGTGGGGCGTAGTTACAATTCTGATTACCCCGTAAAGAGTCCACAAAAATTTCCGCCCGGTCGACAACTCATCGAAATTGAGATCGTGATCACCGGGTGGGTCCACCTTCTGAAATAAACACACGAAATTTCGCACAAACGGTGGGATCTCGAATACCAAACCGGTAGCGTTGACGAGGTGCATATATTCAAAAAGCCCTCTGTTTCCGGTGAGAGTGATGCAAGAGATAATCAACTGTTGGAGAGCAAGGAGTAATTTGTTTAGTAACGATTCATTGGCAAGCTAGCTAACTCGCAAACTATAAGGAGCTCCGGCCGAAATGAATGCGACGGATAGCTATTTGATTAGCGCTTGACATGTAAGTAACAAAAAAATAAAGAGTGCTCAACTGTCAGTAAAAAACCAAACACGTGCACGCGTGACCATCGTACCAAAACGGACGCGAACAAATTCTGTGCGAAAATTTGGTCGGAAAAATTCGTTAGAAAAAGAGAAAAGTTCGTTTAACACACGAATAACGAATCGGGAAAATACTTCTCCCTTAAACAGAGAAGAACCAATGAAAACGTGAAGTTCGATTAACGTTTGTAGCTCACGCAAGGTAACCAAGTGTAATATTACATAATTTGTGTATTCATGTTAGAAGTAATTCACGCTCGAATCAAAACAAACGCGGTAAAACTACAGCAACTTCTTTCAAGCAAGCAAAGTAGCACAAAAGATCATTTACCTTGACTGGTTCTAAAAACTGCACAGAATAATAACAAACTGAACGAGGCAATAATCGATGTCTTCATCGTGTTTCCCAGGACAAGTACACACAAATGAATTTAAGGAATATCTAATGATGCGCCTGCAGTATGTCACATATGATTATTGGTCCCAGGAGTTTACCAATCAAATCTCAACAATACGAAATTTATTAGGGTTGAGAAAAAAATCTTTAAATAGACAAAAAAAAGAACAATATCTGTGAAACTGCATCACGCGAAATTTGTGGCCACGGAATAAAGAATTCCACGTCGTGTAGAAATAAATACAATACACTTCACATTTGAAACTCAAATAACAAACAATTACAAAAGTCACACAATGTACGATTCAAAGAAATAACAAACAACAAGACGGAAAGAGGACTGTAAAACGCTTACATTGTTACGGCCACAGAAAAGACCACAACTGATACTACAAAGGCCAAAATAAAAATGAAAGGAAAAGGACAAGCGAAAACGGCGGTACGTTTCGAGTTCGTTACTGAACTGCATTTAGCGCCAAAAACGAGAAGACAGGCACACTTCTGCTATATGCACATCGATAAATTATGCGAACTAGCCAGAAGGCGGCAATAAGGTGGCAATAAAAGGACACAAAAAAGGCGCTTATGAAACAATGAATATAAACGTTCGCTATTTACGGGGTGAAAAAACTTAAATAATGAACTTTAACCCTTTAAACTCCAAGAGTGACCAGCATCTAACTTCTCTGTACAATATGTATCCTGAATCAGACATTATGGTTATGAGAATGAAGAAAATGGTCACCAGGAAAGGAACCTTTTGATGGGCAAACAAATTCTCCTTGTCACCAGCTTTGGAAATGTATAAAGAACAGTGTGGAAAATACAGGGCGTGAATTTAATTTTTTTTTTCTGATAGCCACTTGGCTCCTAAATTCTTCAAAGTGGTAGCCAATTTAAACAAAGTTGGTCGCCATTTTCAAAGACGAACAAAACCTTTTTTTTACGCTGTCATCGTTCTAGAAACTAAGTTAGGTAAAAGATCTTTAACGTGCTACAAATTGGACACCAGAATGGATGATATGAAACGTTCAAGCTCACCTAAATCCAAGATGGCGTCTAGTTATCGATCGAGATGCACGTGCTGCGGAAACAAACTTAACGAGAAAGTTTGCCGCGGATTTATCTTTGCAAATCTTTTTAATTCATTATATCCCTAGGTAAGGTTATGATGAAGCATTCTAGTCGCCAATTTGGCGACTAATTTTCAGGATTTGGTCGTCAAAGTGAAAAATTTAGTCGCATTGGTGCCTGTATTAAGCGTAATTTCACGCCCTGGAATATGCATACTGATGTAAAGGGTTAAACATGCATTTGAACAAATTTTGGAAAACAAGGGGAAAGAAGACTATTTCCTTTTCAAGACCATGCAAATGCACTTGGTACATGCGGTTTTCGGTGTTTATGATATTCAGCTTGCGTGACAAGTTTGACGAGGAATCACCTGGAAAGGGAATTAGTGTTCCACTGCGTTGAGGAAAATCTCGGCGGAGCGCTGGTTCGACAATCAATAGGACTGTATCTTTCCGATTTCTTGCGTTTATTTACGATGCATACAATATCCAAACTTTCTACATTCAGTCATTCTCAAATCTTCTATTACAAGATAGTGATTCTATTTATGTGCTGTTACAACGGAAATACACGCCTAAACCACGTAAAACCAAGATTGACATTACTTATTCGTGATTTACTAAAATCCCAAGCTATTTCCTGTCAACTTGATTTTAACGGTTGTTTCCCATTACACGCCGATCAACAATTCTGTAATTTACAACCCCACGAACGCACTATTTGCAGCACGAATGACACATCACGCAACATCACAGGATGTTCCAACCGAAACGCATCCGCACAATTTCCCAAGGCAATTCCTTATCTAATTATTTCAGATTATAAATGATTTTCTGCATCACGAGCATTCTTACTACAAGTCTGCCATTACTGTGCTACGTTCAATTATACACCTAAATCTTAAGTAACCCAACTACCATCAAACCCTTAGCTTAATTACAATATTAGAAATAAAGTGTCACGCGATACGCTTGCAAGATTAGCAAGACAATTAGTTTCTAAGGAAACTGTGGCGCTGCGTTGGTGGGGGGTATAACTAGATGATTTGGTTTTATCGACAAAGTTGATTATGCAAATTGCCACTGTAAAGAGCTGCTTTTGTAAAGCTGGCGTTTCGAGCGTTGGTACTTCGACAGGGCGGTTGACGAAGAGCTAACGCTCGAAACGTCAGCAAAACAGCGAGGGACTGTGCCCCCTTTTGCCCTTGTATTTCCAGTGTAACTTTCAAGCAGAGAGGCAGCGCTCTGTGTTTTACATGTCTGAGGCCGCTAGGAAGGGAAGGTCAAGAGAACGAACACTTCCAGCCTTAGCTCTTATCTTGCCATAATGCCAATAATATAGTTTAAGAAAATTCCGGAAGCGTTCAAGAGATAAAATTGACCTTTACAAGGCTAAACACTTACATGATTGACAACTTTTCAAGTTTCTTGCAATTGCGTTCTGCATCGTCTCGATACTGTCAAATTGTCTGGGTATTATTCAAATCACTAGCCAGCTAAAAGGATGCCATCTTCAAACTATTTTGGAGACGAGGCATAGAAATTACAAATATGAATAGCACAAATATGTCACCAGTGTTTGTTTTTCAATTGTTCTCCCAAGTACATGGTATTTGCTTTGAATCAAGACGTCTGCACTCTAGATTGTAAGCTTTTCGAACTCAAACAAAGCGTTATCGATGCGTCGAAGCACCTCAAAGAAGGACGACTTTGAAGCATCATAAATGAGATGATTGGCCAGAAATTCAAATTCTCCTTTCAAAAGATCTTTGATTTCTCCGTAATCTCCAAATGCGAGAATAACTTTTCCAAGTTGTTTCGCATACAACAGTTCTGCTTCACAGTAATTGCTCTGAAAGTATTCCTCATTGAGCCAGACTAAGAAACAATCGCATTCTTCGACGGCAACTTTCAGTGCTCCTTGCAAATCAGCGAACATCGGCATGTCATCTTTGTCAAGCCATGTTTTATAACCAAGAAATTTGAGCCCATTCCGGAAAGTTTCCATCAATGGCTTGTCCTTCGATCTGTGGCTTAAAAAGAAGCTGAATTGGGGGCTGAATTTTGTGTATCTGATCTTTTTAGTCACCAGAGGCACGATGTTTTCTTCAAGGTACTTACGAAGCTTTTCGGGCTTTCCAACGCTGTCGTTTATTCGACGAAGCTCGCGCCAATTTGCGAGCTCATCCTCCATGTCAAAGGAATCTACTTCTTCCTTGCTATTTATTCCCAGGTAGACACATTTGACAATTTCCATCGTCCAGTTCGTGCTTCTACTGTACTTAAAGTTTGTCAAGCGAACTTCAATTCCCTTTTCGAGAGCGAAGTCAAATGTAAACACAAGCCACCAGTATCCAGTTTTCTCGTTGAGGCCATGATTCTCCTTGATTTCGATGTTGTACTTGTTCAGATCTGTCTTAATGGCACGGATCTTTACCTTGGAGAAATCGATTTTATCTGCCATTGCCGAACAAATATTTTCAAAGAAGCGGTGGAGGTGTAAACATGAATGGCAGGTCACAGCAGTTTGGCGATCGGACTCCGTACGCAAGCGGAAATAGTTAACCTTTGCAAACCTAGCTCATCTAGGACTCAAGAAAGAGAGGAGATTGGAAACTGGAAATAGTGAGGATTCTGGTAGCAAGTACACGACGAGCACGGTGTTATTGAGCCAAATTTTGAAATAAACGAAATGTTTGCTTCTCCGATTTAATGAGAGACACAATAGAGAGACTTTCATAGTGACCTACTGATGAAATTGTGCATCAGAGAGAAAAACTTCGTGCTCTTCCACGGCCTCGATCTAGACCGTGGAAGCCTTGTTCCTTCTTGTTGGATTCTGGGGAAAAATCTTAAAGGGAGAAAAGACATTATTCTCTTATTAATGGAAGTGTAGACCTTTTGCACCGTCCCAACATTTTATAAAATCATAGGCTATCCCGCGGCCATTTCAGTCATATAAAAAACGAAAACTGTAAGAGAGATTTGGAAATGAAGCGCAAGTTATGATCAATTTTCCATGTGATTCTCTAAATGTTGATAGGGTAACATATGCATGGATCATGTCCTCGATGAAGTATGAAGAACCAGCTTGAATAAAACTGTCATTACGTCACAAGATAAAGACAAAAGTATCTGGATGTTTCGCTCCATTGCATGTTCGCCCACCTTCGCGAGTTCATCGACCACCTGTGGTAAAACAAGCCGTGTGGTTTTTCTTTTTAAATCGTCCGATCTTCCCTAGTTCTTTTCAACGTTTAATCTGTTTTTAAATCATTTCATCCTTACACACACACACACTCCCAGTAAAAACAGTGCTAGCACCTCTTGCAATTTCCCTTTGTTTGATTTCCACTAATCTCCCAAACAAAGTTCTTTCTATGAGAAGTCTCTTATCTCAACAAGACTACAGCCGTTGTTGTGATGATTTTTTAAATTATTTTTTTCCATACCTCATTTAATTTGTAATGTTAAAAATGCGTCCATCTCATATATTTCACCTTTAGGCAAAATGAACCCAATACCAGTAAAATGAATAACAGAATATGTACAGGTGATACCTTCTCTCGCTTTTTCCCATAAACATAAAACATCTCTTCTATACTTTATAACCATTTATATTTTCATGTGCCTCAAAAAAAAAAAAATCAACAAAAAGTAAAACTTGTAGTGTCACTAGTGAGTATGGATTTTCTGTGGAATTAACCCTTTAAACTCTTAGAGTGACCAGTATCTAATTTCTCCTAACAGTAATACTGCTGAATCATTCATTAACATTGTGAGAATAAAGGAAATGACAACCAACCTAAGAGGCTTTGATTGTTAAAGGAATTCTCCTAACCAGTGCCAGAGGAAATGTAAAGAGAAGCATATGGAGAATATGGCTTCTGATATTAGCGCAGCAAAACATTAAAAAAAGAGTACAAAAAATGTTGCACTTTGATTTTAAATTGCTGAGATACAAATGAGCATGGAGAGTGATATAAAGAGATACTTTTCACAGAGTAGGTGAGCAGTTGGTAGGCAATAAGTTACCAGTCAGTCTCCAGCTTTGGGTCACCGTCTCCTATGTTACTCTGCTGTTTTTACATAACTAAGGGCTGGTGCCTCTGGAGACAGGGTCTAAGGAAACCTACAACCATGCCCTTCTAAGGGGGACATTTTGATTTTTTCCCCAGACATTGGTGTTTGCCTTTATCAGGACATTATCAACATGATCATCCTCAGCCTTTATGTCAGTCTTGCCAGTCTCAGTTACTCATTAGGCATTTTAGTCTCACAGTTTCCATGATAAACATGAATTGTCTCAGAACAGTTGTGATATAAATTAAACACTTCTGCATAACCATGATCCCTCCACCATGTGCAGAGCTGACGATTCCATGAACAAGGAAGCACATGGAAAAAATCAGGATAATCCAAGTTGAGCAATGAGTAAAAATCTTGATCTCCAAGATGTCCTTGGAAGGTGTATTTTCTTGCTATCTCCATCACTGCATTGTTATCAAGAAGCTGGTTGTACTTCTTTGAGTCACGCATACGTTGTAAGTCAATTAACATGACACCACTGTTAAAACCTGTTGCACCATCTGGAGGTGGTTCTCCAGCTTTTGTACCAGCATGCCTATCACGATACATGTGTAGAATGTGTCGGTAAACAGGCTGCTGCTCTCGTGCTAGACCAAATATGGTTGTGGCTTTAAAGTCATCAAATATTGCAAACAGTTGCTTGATGTCTGCCTGGAAAAACAGGTCAGAGTCCAGTGATATGATACGTTTCATGGTCTGCGGCAGCACATGATGAATGGCAGTGGATACAAAGAAAAGAGGGTGATTGAAGTATGAAACAGTGCCAGTACTGAAGAGATTCTGTGAATTAAAATTTAAAAGAAGGTTTCATTAATTCTTACATTTCCATCATAATTGATGTTTTATACTCTTATGTTTTTGTTGTAATTATTATATGATCCATCCAGGCTTATGCATGCAACTGCATAGAAAAAAAATAAAGAAAACTGACAAATGTAAGGCTGAATGGATTGACATGAGCCAATCTGGACAGAGGCGTCTGGCCCTGCAATCACATGGCTTTGTTTCAAAAACTTAAAGTAAAATAGAAATGAGGAAAAACTTCACCTTTCTCCATAAATTGTCTGTTCTGAATTGGACTAAAAAAAAAGTATTCATTCTAGAATCATTTTTGTGGTTGTCCCAAATATGTCATCTATTGTGTCCTATTTTTAATCCTCTAACTCCCAGATCAAATATGCAATTCTCCTTACTGTCAACCGTAAAATTCTTATAATGTTAGTTCAGAGAATTTAGTATGGGATCAACTAATCATCCCCAAATTGACATTTTTCTTTATTCTCATCACTTATCTGGTTGATATTATATTGATATTGTGAGGAGAAATTCCATCTTGGTCACCCATGGGAGCTAAAAGATTAAACAAATTCTCCTTGATAGCACTGTAAAAATTCTGTCGAAAACAGTATCAGAGGAAATGTATACATACCTGAATTTCTTTAGTGATTAGTTTGACCTGACTAGATACATTGTGAACATCATAATAACTCACATTCAGGCTGTGCTTACACACTTTACCAGCCTGATTAAATGTATCCTCACAGGTAAGTTTTCCAACTTTGTCTGTTATAATATGAAAAGCCAAATTTATGCTGGAGTGTTCACAGATGGACAACACACATCGTTTGAACCTTTTAGCTAAAGAGCTTGTCTGGGAAACTTTGGCAAGGATCATCATAATGTTGTTCTCCTCTTGCTGTGAAATAACAGGAGTTACTCCTTTCTTTTCATTCTTTTTCTTCTTCCTAACAGTTTGGTTTCCATCGAGGTTGTCACTGTGGTTTTTTTGGGAAACTTTTTCAGGCCCTTTATGGTTAGGAACAAGAGACTTCTCTTCCATCAATGATGTCTTCTTAATTAACTCTTCATCACTTGCTTCGCTTTCGAACGGTGAGTGTTGAGCTTTATTCTTATGTTGCATGTCTTTCTTCAGTGCTTTATTTTGCATTTTCCTGTGATCTAAATCATTTTCGGCTGTCTCAACCTCTGCCTCTTTCAACTTCACTTTATATTCTGCATCAGATACCACCTTGCTGTCGTCTTTAACTCCTCCTTTGATCTTTTTCGTTAAATTATCTTCTTTCTTTTTGAGTTTACTAAAGCTCAAATCTACCATAGAAGGTGGATTTTTGTCATCGTCCATCGAAGGTAAACTTTGCTGCAGTTTTTTTGCGTTTTCACGCTGCACTTGATTCTGCTTCCAGCCAATATTCTTGGGAACATGTTGGATTAGACTTCCTGCCACAAGATTTAGTTCCTGGGCATTTTGCTGCTCTGGAACTGAAGAGTAGAGAAACCTGCTAGCGATCACAAGAAGCAAAAGAAGTCCTATCACAAGAATTCGGGCAGGATGCCTCATACAATATCTAAATAAACTTGCCCCGACCGCCATGTTGTTTTCACTACATAACTATTTTTACCTCCTCGGGGGTAGGCACGGTTGTGAATGTCGAACCTAATTGTTGATAAGAATCATTACAAAAACAGAAATTCCCGAATTTTGTGCCGAATCGAAGTTTTAGCTACGAAATATGTTTATAGGGCTCAATAAAATAACAACAGTACATTAGAATTAAAAACATATATTTCCAAATAAGTTTCTTTTTTAAATGAGTTTTCGGCATTTCACTCTACCCCTCCCCACTGAGAAGTATTTACAAAGGGGCAGTCGCACAGCTATGGTCAGCGGATTAGTAGCTTAATCAAAATGGCGGCCAAGATCGCCAACTCGTGCAAGCAACTTCGGCCTGTAAAATTTCCTTTGCGATCGCTAGTGTTACGAACATTCTACAGCAGTAAATCATTGGAAAATATGGGGAAAATTACATCGTTTTCTAATCCTGAAGTTCAGTCATTATTAAAGAAACTCACAGGTCGTAATTTGGATAAAATATACGCCATGCGCAGAGGAGAATTTGAAGTTCCATCGTACAAACTAATGACAGATGCAGAGTACTTAGAGGTAATTTTTCTTTTGTTTGTTTCTCTCAGATCTATTTTCTAAGTGGTCTAAAAGAGCAGATCACGTATATACGAGCAGACACGCGCATATGTATGAAAATTTAGAGTTCATAATTGTTTTTGTTTATACTAGGTACAACATAGAAATGAAGAAGAAGCCGAAGCTATGCTTGAAATGCCACCAGTGATGGAAGAGAGACAAGAGATCGATGAAATTATTGAAGAAAAAGAAGAGCTGGCGCAATTTTCAGAGTCAAATTATGTTTTTACGGATATCAGCACAAGTGAATCTGATAGGGTAGTTCAAAGTCTTCTTTCTTGTAAAATAAGTTTTTCTGTTTTTTTTTTCTTTTTTTAACTTTTACAAAAGTAGCGTTACTCTAGGGCAATATATTGCTTATCAAAAGATGAAAATAATTGGACGCTGGAATTTGCTGTGGGAAGCTCTACCGAGGTCCAATAAATGTTCCATTCCCCATTCCCTTTCCCCTGAGTTCGTAATATGCGAGGAAATGTGTAGCAGTTAGGGGGAAGACTTAAGTATCAGAGCTTGGGAGCTTCAGGGTTAATGAGGATGGAACTAAGCTTAAGTTTACTTGATCATGTTGTTTGGCCATAGTTTTTTGTTATTTTAATCTTCTAATTCCTCTTCCTTAAATTAAAACATAGTATTACATAACATAAATGGCCTTGTGGTGTGCTTTTTTTTTACTTCTCATATTTATATTTTGATTTTTTTCAGACCAGGTCAATAACAGTGAGAGAACCAAGTGGCAGATTACGAAAAGCATCATGGGAAGAAAGAGATAGATTGAATTTTATATATTTCCCTAAGCCTGGAAGACAGTATGAAATGCCAGAACTCCTCACTGATGAAGGAATGCTGGTAATGTAAACTGTTCTGTTGTTTTACTTTTATCATTTATTACAATTCTCACTCACAATTAGCACGTGCACTGTGATTAATCCTTTAACTCCCAGATCAAATTTGTAATTCTCCTCACTGTCAACTATACAATTCTTTTAATGTTAGTTCAGAGAATTTAGTATTGGATCAAGTAATTATCCCCAAATTGATGTTTTCCTTTATTCTCATCACTTATCTGCTTGATATTGTATTGATATTGTAAGGAAAAATTATGTCTTGGTCACTCTTGGGAGTTAAAGGGTTAATCAATTTAGAGCTCTGTATTTCAGTGCAAGGCTCACTTAATTCAAAAGTTTGTTTGAATTGAAATTTCTCCCTCTATTTGAAGCCAAAGATATACTCAATATCTTACTGCTAGAGTTCATAGGAGTCCTGGAAAACCTGGGATTTTATTTCAACATTTTCCAGGACTTTCCAGTCCTGGAAAAATACTACAGGTCCTGGAAAGTCCTGGAAATCTGCTTAACTCGAACAATAAAGTTTTCAGAATTTATGTTGTAAGAAATGTATGTAGACTGTAAGGAGAATTGATTTTGAAATCTTGGGAATAAAAGGTTTAACCCTTTAACTCCCACGATCGGATTGTTAATTCTCCCCTCTACCCACTACACATTTCCTTGTAAATTGATTAATAGGATTTTATGTGAGATCAATATAACAACTACTAAATGATCAGTATAATGAATATTCTCATTACCTGTTTGTTGGGTGACATAAGGATAATATGGGGAGAAGTTTCATGTTGATCACTTTTGGGAGTTGAAGGGTTAAGGTGAAATTTAGAGCCCTGGAAGAGTCCTTGAAATTTTTTTCTGAAAAAGGGTACAAACTCTATCCTTCCATTCTTTCCAAAGTCTTTACCTTAAGTTGCAGAACCTTGTTTTTTCCATTTGTATCTTAGTAGAGAAAAACTTGGTCAGTAACTTACAGTAGTAGCATTGACCTTGAACTTGGTTAGTTTTCATATTTGTTTTGATGGTTTTATAAACATTGAATAATAATTTAATAGGGGTTTTTATTGTTTGTCTCAGGATATAGAGTCAGACTATCAATATGAATTTATAGCAACATTTCACCTGCTATACTGTTAGTCTTCATCAGTTGACAAGGTTGAAAATTTTGTGTCACTATATGTAGCACTTGTGTTTGTTGTCATTGGTGTGTTATGGTACACTGTCATTGGTGTGTTTTGATCCTCATTATAATTCCGACTAGCAGCATGTTCTCTAACATTTAATAACTTTCCTCTTATTTATTCAGAGTTGGGTGATTACTGAGAAAGGCACTTAAAATGAATTTAAGGAGCTCACTTTTGCTACTACTTTCTTTTAGAATCTTGGTGGAACTTTTTAGTGATTATATCATTTCTTCTGAATCATGTTAAATGCCTTAAGCTTTGAGCAAGTATTCAACCTGGTTTCTTATAGCTCAAGGATAAACTAAATATGCAAAATTTTTAATAAGTTAGGAAAATCTTTTCCTTAAATTCTAAGAAGTCTTTGAACTCTTTCAGGTTGTGTTTCAGCAAAACAGACATGAAGATGTTCTAGATCTGGCTTGTGTTCAGTTTGAACCAGACTCAGCAGATTACATCAGAGTATGTGGCAGTTAGATGTCAATAGTAATTTCTATCCTGTAAATAACTAACTCCATTCTCCTCTAAAACCATTTGGTCCAACTGATACCATTTATATTTTATATGTGATAGACTAATTATCCTGTCTATCATCATGTTAGTTTAAAACTTCTATTAAATATCAGAAATTTAGCAAGTACTTGATGCTTTTATTTTGATGTTTATAAAACATTTTGCACCAGAGTGTTTTGTTTGCTGATGGGTGAGTCAAAATTTTGGAGAAGCCCAGAAAGCAAACACAATGTGTAATAAATTTCTCTAACCCATCTTTTCTGAAAAAGTAGCTCCATTTAAAGTAGACCATTTTAATAACTAAGTTTCATAGAAAATAGAAGATGGATGCTTAGCACTAAGTTTTACTCAGAAATCAAGACAAAAGATTAAAATCACTGAATTTTTTGCACATGCACAAACACGCTTGTGGATGGCATTTTAAACTGAATGTACATATATGTCCAGTGTATGAAGTGATCTCATCTTATCTGGAATTTGTGAATAAGAATTTGACTAAGAAACATTTGGAGACAAGAGCTTTATTCGAAAAAAGTTTTAGATTTTCGATCATTTAGGTCCATAGGTTTTCCTCTGTTTTCAGTTTTGATAATTTGTGATTGTATAAACTGGGAATGGGATTTTTAATTTCTGTTTTTATTTTGTGCAGGTTCATCACAGGACATATGAAGACCTACTTACACATAAAAAGTTTGAAATTTTAAGATCAACAAGACATTACGGAGGACTTCTATATTATTTGGCAAAACAACAAAAACTCAATGAATTGCTGGATAATATGATGGACAGGGAACAGTAAGTTTAGAATTTCTTCATTAATTAGACAAATAAAAATAAAAAGTCTTATCTTCTAGAGTTTTTGTTTTATTTTTGACGCTGTGTTATGCTATTATCAATTACTATCTTGGACAGCAGTAAAGTTTGCTTTCAGAATGCTTGGATGTTGTCTGGATCTCTTAAAATTTCCATGTATTTATTTCATCTTGTGCATTGATCAATTGGAAGCATCAGTACCCCCCTCCCCCCCTGAGGAATTCCTAGGACATTTGAACTTTTGAAGATTGGTTTGTTCAAACACCCACCCCTCCCCAGGACCAAAATTGTGTTCAAGGCACAGACAGTAGTTCAATACTTATGAGTTGCAGGGGGGGATGTTGAAGCTTATCGACATATTATAAGCAGGCAAAGGGTCAGCACATGGTGGATTTTGGTATACTTTGAAATGTATGTCTTTTAAAAATAGGTTCTCAGTTTATCCCCCAAGATCTGAGTAATTTGCAATTCAACGTTGCAGCTGCTACTTAATTGATTTTTTAATTCATTAAGAGAATTTCCAAAATCAAGAAGATGCTTGCTAAGTGATAAGGTCACCATTTCTGATCATCTTATTGTTAGATAATGTAGTGTAACTTCCATGAGTGACCAAGACAGAATTTCTCCTTACAACATCAATACAATATCAAGCAGAAAGATGATGAGAATAAAGAAAAATATCAATTGGGGAATTATCAGTTGATCCAATACCAAATTCTCCAAACTATCATTATAAGAATTGAATGTCAGACAGTAAAGAGAATTGCTAAAATGATCATGGGAGTGAAAAGGGTTAAAGATAAGTAACATGTTAATTGGTTATGATATGTTTACAGGTGGGATGACTGTATTGACGTGGTGAGACTTCACCTCCTTTGTCATCCAGGAAGCGAGATAACACGTCGAATTGGAAAGAACAACTTAAAAGGCTTCTCTATGCTTCGGGTTAGTGTTACATATGTATTGTGAATACCCACACAGTCCAAATGTTTTCCTTGACATTAAAGAAGAGAAGAGACAAAGGTATGGAAGATCAGGGTATTTGAT